TGGCTGGAGATTGTTAAGAAACTTAACATTTATCTCAATAGTGGTTTTGGAGATTCCATTCTTCGTAAGCTCATTCAGCAGTCTGGCAAGTCGGTTATATACATCGTCAAGGCTTTCTCCCTCTCTAGCCTTGAATTCTTCATAAGCAGAAATGCAATTAGTAATCTTCAGTTGAGTTCCAACTTTAGAACCCATCATCATCTTCTCTATTTGAATCCACATGCTATGACCAGATGACTTGTAGCTATCAATACTTGTGTATATGTCATTGGTCAGTGCTTGCATCATGTAGGATTTGCAAATCACATCAGCATGTGATCTCTCTTTGTCTTCAGGAGAATATTGATCTTTTCGTTTTGGTAATCTCTGTGCAGGAACGCCTAGTACAGGATCAGCTTCTATGTCAATAAAGAATTCAGTAGGACCTTCCAGTAAATATTGCATGATCAGTTCTCCTTCCTTCATTCTTTCAATAAAGTTGAGAAATCTGTCTCTCCATTGATTATAATCTCCTCGAAAAAGTACTGGTGGCTTGGTATCAGTACCAATAGCCATTGCTTCTTTAGAGCTCATCTTTGCAGTTTGTATGAAAATTAGGATCGACTGCAGTTCAAAGTTTGAATTTAAAAGATCAGTTTACAAAAATATATCTGATAAAAAGTAAACTGTAATAAGCACACATTCAACACTTAGACAATTAAGCACAAAAATACTTGTCCGGATTAGCAATCCGCACAAGTTGTCCGGTTTACAAGTCTGGTCAAAGAGATGGACAAAATTAACGCGTTATCCGGATTAGAAATCCGGTCAACACATGAACATAAACCGCACAAACATAAACCGTACAAACATAAACCGTACAAAGTATAAATCGCACAAGGTAGAAATTTAATGATGAATCGATCAACAAGTCAAACTTACTAAATCGGTCAAAAAGTCAAAATTATTAAACCGATCAAAGAATTCAAACACTTGTACCAATCAAAGTCAAAAKATATGAAATCGATCAAAAGTCAATCACCGTTCAAAAGTCAAACACCGCTCACTTACCAAGCGGATTCCTAAACTGCACACTTACCACCCGGATTTGGTTAAACCGGTCAATATCCGTTCAAGTTACTAAGTCCTTACCAGCCGGATACYTTTAAACCGCTTACAAGTCCTCTCAAGTGTTATCCAGTTTATCATTAATCCGCACAAGTTATGTCCAGTTTACTAGCCGGATTAGCTAAACCGTTCAAGAAATCCTTCCAAGTGTTGTCCRRTTTTACCTATATCAAAAACWACTAAAACCACACGGATTGTTAAACCGCACAAGTCTTATCCGGATAGAAATTCAACCAAAAACATAAAATTTCATACATTTTCCAAAAAAATGGATCAAAACATGAAAAATATGAGTTTTTTATGAACTTTTTCCAGAAAACTAAAAAACGATTTTGGGCAATTTCAGCCTCAAAACTTGTGTAAAACACAAAATGATGTGAATCAAAGTTGTTTAGAATGCAAAACCGAAACTCACGATACWAATTTTGAACAATAACACTCAAAGATTAAACAGTTTTGACACAAAAACCAATTCCGTCAGAAAAAAATCAAGAACAGTGAAGAACAGTGATGAATCAGATCGAAAAATATTAAAAAATTCGTGCAAAAWTGTGTAAAATGGATATCTTCAAATCCAAACTGTTGCAGCTTGCTCTGATACCAATTGTGGAGTCCAGATTTCATACAAATCTTGATGTGATCTTCATAGATTGATATGAAMAATGATGAACACTAAGAATGATGTAAGTAATGATTAGATTGGAGAGAGAGAGAATTACATCAGCCAAATCTTGATTACTGAATTAATGACAAAAGCTCTAATTACAATTACAAGGAATTTCCTATTTATACTAGGAAAGTAAAGACTAAAAATTACAATAAAACTATTCTAAGGAGAAACTTGAATACAACTTTTAAGCTCTAATCTTGAACCCAACAAAGTTCATCTACCATTTACTGCACGCATGGAGATATGGAAGTTGAGTCACAAGTGGTAAAATGTTATATGAATAAATTAAAGGGTAGTTCAGTATAGCTACATGAAAGTACTTCATTGTACATCTTCAACCTATTTTCGCTTTCAGCGCTTCAAGTAGGGCTGACCATTTATTACTTACAAATTTTAGATTCATAAAGAAGAAGAAAATTGCTCTTCTTTATTTGGTAGTAATAGATGTCACCTAACTGTAAATTACTCCCACATTACGCAGGACAATCTGCAGCTGGATTAATAAATTTGACCCTTCAGTCGTAAGAACGGTACAGAAAGGGAGACATCTTTATAAGAAAACGACATCTTCTTTTAAAAGAAAATGACATCTTCTCAATAAGGGGATCCATCAATCATTCATTTTACTGAACATGGAAACGGAAGTATTCATGATACAATTTTGGAAGCTGAGACTTTGTTGTGGAACAAACAATGTATTAAAGAGAGAATTGATGACACCATAGTTATATTATATGCAATAATGTATATGCACAAGTTGCTACAGTCAACAAATGATAGCAAGAAAAAGATTAGATATATTTAACCGAATCTATCAAGGAGCTGCTGTATCATCAACTCCACAGACGATGATAGAAGCAAGAAAGTGAGACTCAACAAAGTAATTGCTCAACTAGAAAGTTGTGATTCATCAGTTACATTCACTAGCAACATGCTTTCTACTTTATTACTACTCCTTTAAATATCAAATTAGAGCACATATGGACTTCCAAGAATTACAAGTGCTACATTTCAACTCAAACATGATTCAATCAACTAGCTTGTTTGAATAAAAAGATGTGCTAAATTATAAACATTTATATCAGTTTACAAAAATTGAGAATATTAAGTTGCTAGGATTGAATATACATATATAAGCAACTCCAGTTCGGGAACCGAATGACTGAATGTATATGCACAAATTTCATACAACTGTGGTTCACATAAGTAAATCTAATACCGGATCAATTACAAAACCTAAATAAATGTTACTAGGAATTCCTAATTAACATATGCAAATCTACAGAGTCAACGAGGGCAGATCAAAATATGTTTAGATGCAAATTGAAAAGCAATTGCGTAGGCTAAAAATGCTCGAAATTCCAAGTTATACTAGCAAATCTAGACACACGATTACATAAAAACGAAACAATCACATAACTTAAAGCAGCGACTTTCCGTAGTCATTAAACTCCAAATCTATAATCAACTAACCTGATTTTCAAGACGCAATTTTTATATGAAAATCTAGATATTTCCATAATGGTCAACGACACAGCAAAAAAGCACAATATATCGCATAATTTTAAAGGAGAAACCCTAACCTGAGCTGCCTTATAAGCATTGAGGGTGCTCTCGGCGGCCTCTTTACGTTCACCGCCGGTCTTAAACTCAGGAAGGTAACGATGATAGTCTCCCTTCATCTTGAGATAAAACACATTCGAATCACCGGATGACGCAGACGGAACGAGTTTCTTATCAAGCATCTTCAAGATCCCATCGCCAATGTCAGAAAGCTCCTTCTCGATCTTCGATCTGTAATTCTTAATCACAGACACATGATCCTCATTACCCCAGGAAACTACGAACTTCAGAAAAAAACGATGGGAGGGAAGTGATGGGAGGGAATCTGGGTGAAGGAAGCGGGAGGAAGCTGGGTGAAGCACTCAACAGAAAGCGATGGGAAGGAAAAGCCCGGATTTGGATTTCAAATCCCGCCCCTTAGCAAAGGATTTCCAAATCCTGCGTGTAATGGATTTTAATGAAATCCCCAGATTTCAAATCCTGACAATTTGGCAAACCAAACACAGGATTGGAATGGATTTTAAATCCAAATCCTCCCAATTCCATTCCATTCCTGCATGCCAAACACACCCTTAATCTATCATCTCAATTTTGGCTGATGATTGCTAACAAGAACTAGAAATAAAAAGAGAAACGGGGTTAAAATATCATATTACACACATACCTACCTACCCCCCCTCTTTCTCTCTCTCTCTCTCTCTCTCTCTCTATATATATATATATATATATATATATATATATATATATATATATAGGATTGGGTTCACCTGAGACCAGCCTGTTTTCGTGAGACCCGTGAGACCACATTTTTACACGTAAACTTCACAGCAAAAACACCCTGTGAAGGTTAAAAAAAAAGTCGAACCTTCACAGCAAAAACACTGTGAATGTTAAAAAAAGTCACCTTCACAGCATTTTACTGTGATGTTTCAAGTGTTAAAAGGTGGTCTCACGGGTCTCACGAAAACATGTTGGTCTCACATGATCCCAAGTATATATAGGGTTGGGTTCACATGAGACAAAGGGTTTTTTCTGAGACCCGTAAGACCAATTTATGTTCATTGATCAACTTTATAAGCTAATGATCTAACGGTCTAAAGTTGCACGGTGACAATTTTATGATTATTGAGAAGTCTCGTGGCAATTTTATGATTATGAATGTTCAGATTGTAGATCTAATCCAAGGGTTGAGAATTGGTCTTACGGTCTTACGAAAAACCCTTGGTCTTACATATATATATACATATAAGAGCCTAATCAAATAAGAACTAATTAATATGTGATAACTGTGAGATCCAACTTGAGCCAATTATTTAAGATAACTAATGTTTTTCTTAAAATGACATAGAAGGTTAATTAATAATTTAGGTTGATTATTCGATTTACTTTAATTAGTTTAATATTCTAATTTACTTTATTTAGATTAATTACTTTAATTAGATAAATTACTTTATTTTAAGCATCACATTGCTCATGGTGTGTATCACAGTAGTATCTAGTTCTCCCTTGAATGACCCCCCCTCCCCACACACACACACACACACACACACATATATATATATATATATATATATATATATATATATATATATATATACAAACACACAAACACAACTTAGGTATCATGGTGGTACTATAGTAAGTATCACAATAGTATCATAGTTGGTATCATAGTGGTCTTGAAATTTACTTGACGTGTTTTGGATATTACATTGTATGTATTCTGGGTATCATATTGTGTATCTTGGTGTATTTTGGGTATCACTTGGTGTGCGCCGAAATAAGGTTTACCGGAGGCCAGAAGTAGGAGAGAGAGACATAGGAGAGATAAAAAAAAATTAAATACCTAAAATGCGTTTTAATTAAAGATTTTGGTCAAATTATCAAAAATATTAGTTTTCTAATTTATCCATTGATTTGTGGTTGAGATTAAATCTCACAGTTATCACAAACTAACTAGATATATATAGACACACACACACGAAGGATCATGTGAGTAAAAAAATTAATGTGAGAAGCGTAATAAAAGATCTGAATCCTTAATCACTTTTAATTTCATAGCCGTTCATGAATTGCACTTTAGAAGGGAGTTGATCTGGTTTATTTTGGTGCACCTTATCAGTGTTGACATTCAATTAGGATTGATCTAAATGTAGAGATATCTTCTTACGTTTTTCACCGGAACTTCCCTTCTTACCGAAACCCAATCCTAAATATATAATCCACAAATAATTATAATGTATAAATTCTAATAAATTAAATAAATTTATAACTAATCTTAGTTAGTAAAAAAATTCCATGTACTTAAATCACTCGGATGCCAAATCACCTATCATATTAGCATGGCTATTTAGATACTTAAATATTTGAAACTTCACATTTTAGGTACCAAAATCAAGGTCTTAAAAATACATTAACCATAATAGAATCAGACAAAGTACATTATCTTTTCATTCAATTTACCCGATATAATGACTTGTTTAAATTTGTTAATTGATTAGACAACGAAATGTAAATTTAAGTTAGGTTTTCTGGGAGCTTATTTGTATATTATTAATTATTAGAAGGATATTTGTGTAATGAAAAACGAGATACATCGAGATAATGTTTTGATTTATTTTTTGAATTTGTCGATATAATACAGTTTTATATGACTTTAAGAAAGCGATAATGTTTATAATCATAAAAGGTTTAAAAAAAATACATCGATATTAATATCAAATTAACTATTTCAAAATTCTCGTTTTTTATGTAATTTCTTTAATTCAGATTTTTATTATAATTTAATTTAG